GCGCTCCGCGCTCAGCGGAGGTGTTTCCAGCCCGCCACTGTGTCCCCCTCGCAGCGAGCCGGGCCTGCCTTGCTGGGCTCCCGGTCCAAGCACTCCGCCAGTTAGGCAAACATGGAAGCTTGCCCTCCATCTGAGCACCTCGCCGGTCTCCTCACCTACGTTTCTTCCATCTCAAGCGTCCCTTTAGTGCTTGGTCATCAGGGTCCCCTTCTTCCCTGTTACCCAGCCGCGGGAAACACCTGCCTTGAGCAGAGGCCATGGATCTCCTGGCGGCGCAAGTCCAGGCCCTTCATAGCCCGTACCTTTAATGCAGCAGCTACTTGGGCACAGCCACTCACTTTGCCCTTTTATTTTATTTTATTTTTGCAAGAAACTTGAAAGAGAGCTTCTTGTCTCCTTCCTGACCCAGCTGTTACTACAATTCCCAGTCTAGCTACGGGTTTGTTTCGCTCCATTGCTGTTTGCTGGGAAATGATAAATAAGTACAGTACTTAACTGGCCGGATCTTTCCTCCATCCATCCCAGTCTTCTCTTCTTGCTTCTCCAAGTGCTGGTTTTCCAAAGATCGCCCTCCATTCCATGCCAGCTTCTTCCACTCAACTATCCACCCATGCCTGAGACCAGTGAGCTTTTCCCCCTTGCTGCTTACAAGTGAGAGTTTGGACTCTGGCTCCTTCTCATCTCCCTTTTCTTGCAGCCCTCACTCAGCCTGCCACCCTCTTACCCTGTTCCCCTGTAGTCCTAGGTCTTGGTCCTCCAGTTGGGAACTATGTGAGGAAGCCTCAGGACTTTTGTGTTCCTGCCATTGCCTGTGGACCAGAAATCTTATGGGTCCAGATGGTGATTGTAATCCAGTGGCCTGTGTGCTTAGACTTCTGGACTGGCTTGGTACTTTTTGTGATTTGATGGATTGGGTATCCCATCTTGGCTCCCTCTCTGCACTTTTACATCTGTGGTTGGAGTTTGGGTTAGAAAATAACGGCCCCACTTTAGAGGAGAAAAGGTGCCAAGAGGAGACATACGAAAGATTTTAAAAGTCAGAAATGAAAAATGTCTTCCAACTCACCAGGGAAGCCTCAGAGCCCTCTCTCAGTCTTGGGTAGTATTGAGGACAGGGGAGTGTCCTGACCGGGCAGCCTCTACTCCCTGCCTTGTTTTCCCTGGCTAGAGCCCCAGGCTGGGCAAGTGGGTAGAAAGTATCAGATGGGATCAGATGAGGTAGAGTGTGAAAGTGCTTTGAAAGTTGCTAACTAGTACCCTACTGTAGAGAACTGATTGGCCCAAGAACTCAGACTGCCCCCCCGTTTCAGCCTCTGAGTCTCATCCCAGCATATGTGGAAGAGGATCCCATCCTGAGAAAGGGCCCAGTCTCTTCTGGCAGGCATGGGCTGGTGGTGGTTATGTGTTGGGACACTGGGGACTCTGCTTCTGTTAATGATGGTACAGGGTGGTGCCAAGGCACATTGCTCTGGATTTGGGCTAATTTTAGGGGTGATAGAATAAGGAAATAATGTTCTTATTAATTAATTAAATTGTTTAATTTTTTTGAGACACAGTCTCACTATGTAGATAGTAGATTGCTCTGGAACTCACTGTGTAGTCCAGGCTGGTTTTGAACTTGCAGCGATCCTCCTACCTCAGTCTCCCGTGTGCTGGGATTACAGGGGTGCGCCACCACACCCTGGCCAGGAAATAATGTTCTTAACTTAGTATGTATGTGCTGGAAGCACCCATTCTTTGCATCTTTTCCTTCTCCCATGAGGTCTGAACCCCAGAGTACAGGCTTGAGGGTCCCTTAAGCCATTTGGGAGCTGCTAGCAGTGGCATGCGCCCTCTCTTGCCTCCAGTAGGGGGCAGCCTTTTAATAGCAGTAATTAAGATACTAGGGGAGTAAGGGTACACTGAGGCCTGAAAGAGAAGGGCAGGGGCAGGGCCAGAAGCTGGGGTAGACAGGCTGAGGACTGGACAACAAGCTGGTGTGGGCTTGTGATGAAGAGGAGACTGTTAGCCCATCAGTCAGGAAAAGGTGAGATAGGAAGACACAGAGTCCCCTGGTCCTAGTCTACCACCTCTCCCAGTCCTTTCTTCATTAGAAAGGGATCCAAGTGCTTGACCTGCACAGTGTGATGGATGAACTTGGGGTCAATGCGTTTTCCTTT